GATCGCGATTGAGATGGTAGCAAGATTGTAACTGAATTTGCTTGTTTCGCCGCACGATCGCTATTGAAATCGACTGTTTCACTAGTGATCGTGACAGGATCGTGTTTAAATTGCTTATATCGCGGCACGATCTCCGCTTCCCAGCAAACCATTTCAGGATGATGAACCTGTAATTGTGAGCACTGTTAGAAGCTTTAAAAGGTTCTCGAAACCTAGTTTTCATAGTTACTACTCGTTTCCATTCTTTAACTAGAAGAGTGAGAAACATTTCTCAGAGACATGCGCGTATAAAAAGAGGAAGATAGTTCAAATACTGCCACACAAGAGCATAAAAATTTCGATGAATTCTTATGCAGGAATTTCTATATAGAAAAAGAATGAAAAACAAAAACTATTGATACAAAGCTTTTGAAAAGAAAGTTTTTCTTAAGGTAGTGAAGACACTGATTTCACCATGTTTTACCCGGTTTTCTGAGGGTAAAACATGGTGAAAACCCGGTTTTCCTCGGGAACATAATGCAATCAAGTTGAATCATTCACCTCAGACTCTCTTCGAAGTTGAGCTTAAAATAAGTACACAGCAATTTTATTTATAAACACGCTCTCGCTTTCTATAATTCTTCTTAACTCGTCATAGAAATTGTGATAACGGTGTTTTGAACTTTAGAAAAAGTTTGATTGTTATTTCTAAAACAGCTTCAGTCTTAGACTTCTCTAAGTTCTCTCATGTATTTCTCAATTATGGTTCGACATATAACTGGTATTTGATCTCAAAATAAAACTGAGAGCGGTTGCCATTTTATGGTTCACTTGTGAATATTACCGGTAAGGCAACGTTTGCCGTATGTGAAGAAACATTCACGCTTGGACTGTCAGAGAATGTATACCCGAAGGTATTATCGCTAGGATCAGTTCGTTACTAGAGCCAATCTAATATTCTGTGAATGAGGCGGAATAGCTGAGCCCCAATCCTCTGTGCGTCAAACAGAATCGAACCGATCGTCGCTACATCCTGAGAGTCACTAACAGCAAAGCTATTCACACCAAGGATATTCACAATTCTTATAAAAGTATTAACCTTTGATGCATTTCTCACTTCTGTGTAGTTTTATTTTGAGGTATTTGCACAGTAAACATCGACTGAGAGAAAGAACATAGAAAAAGTCCTTGGATATAGTGCATTTTTTGAGAAAGAAGACTTTTTTAATCTACACAAAATGCCTGAAGAAACTGCAACAGCAAAATTTATATTTAGGAATTTATATTCTGTCACTCACTGGAACTGCTGTGTACTTTGCAAATTAGTTACTTTTGTTCTTTGATTTAATTCTGCTTTGAGAAACTTAAAAGAGCAGATATAAAAAGTAGTAGAAATAAGTGTCTGATGTAACACTGCTTTTTCGTCTCATTTAAAAGGAGAAGAAAAGCTTTGTAACGTCGTCACATACGTGGCTACCATATAAGTCTATGTGTACTGGTATCCTCTCGATTCGTCCCTTAAAATTTTTTTCTTGATTCGTTCCTCAAATGCACGCATAGGCTAAATTATTCGGCTTTTAAATTTATTTAATAAACTTTGTAAAAAGACCAAAACTAATAATTAACAATATATAAACAGCTATAATACCATTATGCTCACAAGACAAACTAATTATTCGTGAAGATATCATGCTTTAATTGGGGTTGTTTTAACAGCTCTACCACATTTAATAGCCAGTTAAACATTTGTTATTGTTCCTTTTATGTGTTCTTCATGTAATTCTTTTAACTTACTATCAATATTATTGTATAATTTTTTTCGTTTCCTTATTTGCATATCTGATTCTTCAGCTCTGTGATGTTGATATAAATGTTCATCACGTAACAATTCAATAAAATGATAAATATGTGGGTGTTTTGGAAAATTACTTTCCAAACGCCTATTGTACCCCTCAACATGATTGTTTGTCCTTGGTAAATCATTAATTATTGCGTCATGCACATTCCATATATTAATTCCATATAAACTAATATCTACATAGGTTTGAAATAAATAATCATTGAATTCAGTAGCATTAACATCATCTGGGGTGTGTAAATCCATAATATCCGTCCAAGTACTTTCAACAATGTCGGCTGGTATTAATGCTAAACCAATGGCACCAAGAAACTAATAATCTGCCTTTTTATGTTTCGGAGAATTTTTGTGTACGCCTCTACTGAATATCCGTAAGTTGATATAGGATAGTGAGAGTCTTTTTTTAAGCATCCTAAATGGCTCTAAATTGTAGCTATTTATATATTATTAATTATTAGTGTTGGTCTTTTTACAAAGTTTATTAAATAAATTTAAAAGCCGAATAATTTAGCCTATGCGTGCATTTGAGGGACGAATCAAGAAAAAATTTTAAGGGACGAATTGAAAATAAAAATTTACGAGGGATGAATTAAGAAATCAATTAGGGACGAATCGAGGCTAAACCATGTGTACTATATAAATTCTTTCACTATTCAAAATGTTAGACAAGTATATATATGCGTTTATATGAAGTATGTTTTTCTTCGTTACAAATTTACATCGGACAAAATACACGTGAAAAATCCATTGACCATTTGCTACAGAACGAAAGAACTTCTTGTAGCAATTTTATATCTTGATCGGCATATAAGACACGAAATTTCGTCCTAAAAACGATTAGGGGGAAAATGACGACGTTTTGGGGAAAAAGTGATGTCACTATTAGAAAGAGCTCCAAAAACTACATCGAATTCTGTTGTGTTTGATCAAGAGTGTATCACGCTGCCAGCAACTATTTTTTCGAATACAAATTTTGAACAAATTTTAGTTAAATTCATATCCCGATCGGGAAATAGACGGTTAATCTTCTATTGTTCATAACGGGATGTACTCTTGATCAAAGCTTTCCACATCGACCGTCTTTTCTTATTTCTTGCTTTTCGATGTACACATATATTGAAACACAATTCTTTTCTCATGCCTGGACAATATATAAATATACGTGCTTTGTGTTTAACGGAGAATTTTCCAACCATTCATTCCTGCAGATAAACTGCCTTATGCTTTTCATAAGTGAATCACAACTTGTCGTATCTTTTAAAACGTATATCAGTCGTCAAGCCAGCATTTCTGAAGATGCCAAGAAAACATCATCATTCCAGGCTTTGCGCCATTTATACTCATATTGTCTGACACGGCAACACTCCTCTCAAACTAATTAGATTTGATGAGAGACATGTTAATGTGGAAGTAAGAAATTACATTAACTAATAATTGTCCATAAGAGGGCTCTTGAGAAAATCTCTGCCATTCGGTAACGTTGATAACTGCAGAAAGGTCTCTGAAATGTGTGAATTGCTAGAAGATAGCTCGGTAGTCTGCTTGCTGAAATCAAAATTCATTTTTGCTTCACGGAGTAGTAAGGGTACACTTCCGTTTTTTTTCACTTACTTGGCGAATCGAGAGCAAAAGTGTGATTGAGTTCAAATTCCTATACCAGACAGTAAGGGGATATCTCCTATATCCTCGTTAGAGAGGCGAATAAAGAAAGAATATTCGGCTATCATATAATTCAAATTTATCGTTTTCTTACAAATTAAAAATTAAAATTTTTGATATCCTGATTGGAATATAGATTCTTTTGATATCTCAATCGGGATATCACATTATATCCTGATCGGGATGTAATTTCAAACTATATCCCGTTCGGGATATAAAAAAAAATGCTGTAAAAAATGATATTCCGATTGAGAGTACATCCCGATTGGGATATGTCTCCACACTGCCTGACGTTGAAAAATACCGCCAAAAAATTGGTGCTCGAATGTTGTGCCACCTTCTTTCTTTCCCTGATCTTGCACCAGAAAATCATTATCTTGAGGTGTATCCTCTCCAGTTTGACTAACAGCATGTGTCAGCTCATGCATTAGGTTTGACGCCGCCCAAATCATTCTTTCGTTACCATTGACGTGTTCAAACATTTCTTTGGCTAATAATATCATGATTGTTGCTGTTCTTGTTGTTGATTGAACTATACGTCTAGTTAATCCGAGACATTCTGATGGTAGTTGAAACTTTTCTTCTTCAGTGTCCAATTTTGCACCTAGAATAATTGAACTAAGTGAGAGAATAATGCCATTGAATCAGTAACGGTATCGCTCATATTTTGTTGATTGATAACGTCGTTGATCGTAAGGAACTGAAAGAATATGCCCTGCTTGCAGAGTTAAACGGAATCATAGATGGCAACACTTTCACCGTAATCCCGGAAAATCGTCGGACAAAGATCTATTACCCATAGCATTTCTAGTCAAAGTGATCCACCAAATGCTCCAAAAATTTCAGACTCACATCTCATCTGGTTCAAGACATTTTATCTTCGTTATGTACATGTCCGAATTCGTGTCGCTCTGCAGTCCATTAAAAAGTATACAAAATTTTTGATCAACGTGAGGTGTTTTTCGCGTGCATAGGTTTCGAGATGAACAACTCTCTTTCAACGGAATACCCATTCAATGTTTTCGTACTCATAAATAAAAATCAAGTCGATTTTATTTATTTTATACTGTGCCACTAGGCGACACTGTGTTCATACTTGAATCATATGAGATATGAGTTAAAGCACGAAGAAGATTGTCACTCATCACGTGCAAATATGCAAGATGTTCTCGCAAGATGTTTATGGTACGTTCATACTTCCGTCTTTCAACGATCACGAATATCATCGTTTGTATCAGCTTTCTTAAGTTATCAATATCGGCTTGTTGAGCAGCAGCAAGTATCATTTTTTCAACGTCCTCCATAGTCAATTTTGTTGTTGAATTTTTAATCTTTTTATAAATGCCAGTTGAAACATGCACCTAATAATTGATCATTTTAGGATTATGATCGAGTATACGGTTAATATATGATACAATTTCTTCGAAACGTTTACGATACAACGTCGCTTTAATAGGATCCAATTCAGTTATTTAACTATTAATTCGTTTTGATCGTGTTACCCAATAGCTGAAATAGGAAAAGCTGAATAGTTTTTCTGACCACAGTCTGTGAATGCAGATGTGCGTATTGTTTTTATCGGGTTAACGAGTTCTTTGTTTGAAGAAATTAAATAAAAATAAACCGAAGAGCTCAAATTAATTAGGGGAGGAGGGACAGATCCTCACAAAAGGCACTTTTAAACCTTCCCGGATTGTAGAAAATACTCGACTGCATACATCCTGCATTGTTTTCGGAGAGCCGATAAGTATTCATGGAGTTATAAATTAACTAAGATAAAATTTTAGTAAAAACCTTAATTGCTGGGCTATTTTTAAAAAGCTTACAGCTCAGTCAAAAATAGTCGCAGAAACGTCGTTTTAGCGTAGTTTGGTAGCCAATAAGCCATAGTTATAGTTTCAAAAAAAGATTGAAAACAAATATTTTTGAGGTATTAATTAATTGGTGATGAGTAATACTAATTAGCATTACTCTGGTAGCTTACACTTTTATTTCTAAATTAACGATTCGTTGGAAACCATGAAGTAATAGCTCGTTCGATAGAGATTTTCAAGCGCTATAAAACCTTGTATTCGCTTTTTCAAAAATTGATCCATAAGAAGTTACTGTAATCCGGTTTTCCGGAATACCGAGTTTCTACGAGGGTTGTTAAGTTATTACCGACGCCAAAATATAAGGCATCAACAGTTTTTGAAAATAATCACACGATACATCATTCGAATTAGCTTTTCAAGCGCTACAAAACTGTATATTTGCTTTTCAAAAGAATAGGATTTTGACTGAGTTCTGAATTTTTTAATTTTTGATGAAAATAGCCCTAAATCTGTTATTCCATCTGGTACAGGTTTTCACTCCGTTCTTACACTTTCTTCTGAAAATTAACAGTGCCACGAGATTCAGCATGTCGATAACTTATGTTTTCATGATTTCAGAACGTTCCAGAACGGAGAATAGAGCAGTTCCGGGGCTTCAAACGTTTTTTCCGAAGCTTCTAAACCAATCAAAGTGAAATCTTTGTTTAGATCTTATTTTGAAGAAGACACGTTGGACTACCTATCCATGAAAAAAGTCGATTGCTTGCTATGTAAACATTTCAAGGAAAAACAAAATTTTTGTTAAACCAACTTCATTCAAAGTTCACAATCATTTCAGCATATGGGCAGTTCGATCTCGTTGATCGATCGGAGCCAGTCTTATCATTAGAACACGCTTCTTTGATGGACCGTGAACTTTTTAAATAAATCTCTCATATTTCCGTAAACTTTTAAAAGTTAAAGTAAAATGGGAAGAACGTGTCTGGGAGGTTCAAACATGTCTCTATAGATGTAAGTCGATGTTGGCAACAAAATTATGTAAAAGACCAGGGCGCTTAAATTAGTTGAAGAAATAGTTAGACTAGAAAAAGAAGAAACGCTCTTGGTCAGTATTTTCAGTATTCAGTATACCGATACTGAACCATGCTTAGTTGGAAAAAAACGAAGAAAAGAATTACAGTTAGTCACATACTATTTTTCGTTCAAATTCGCGTGCAGAACACACTCTGTGAGTCAAATCTCAACCAGTTGTTGATTCTGACAGACACTACAAATAAAGCCTACCTGATTCGCCATATCCGGTTACTGAATGATTAAGTGAGTATGATTTACTTTTAACTTGAAAAAAATTGAAGTTCTAATCGATTTTACACAACTGTATTTCTCTCTCTGTATAAACAATTATACGGTTTTCTTTAATACTATGATGGCACGTCAGATATATCTCTACTACGCGAGCACGTGTGCATAGGAGGCGAAGGGACGGAGAAATCTTTTTCTTTGTATGTTGGTATACTTAACAAAACTGTATTGCGTTAAGACAATAAAACAGTTTATATCTTGTTCGAATAACAAATAAAAATGACATTTGTGGTAGACGTACGTTTTTCGTAATATCAGTGCAAATGTGTACCACAGCATATATGTGAAAATGATACACCTATCGAAGAATAAAAATCTCTTCTGGTCTTTTTTGGTCAAAATTGTTTACTTCACTTCATACACAATCATAGATTTACAGACGTTTCTTGGACGATCTTATGCTTATCCCATAAAAAATAGCATCAATTGACAGGAATTCAGCAGATCGGCTAACCCTCATAGGCTTGCTCATATCTGTCGAAAGATTTTAAAGTTTAGGTGTCAATGCTACAAAAACCTGCCGACATATTAAAGACTGTTTTCTGCTACTACTTTTATGCAGGAGCCCAGCTGCTTTTCTCCAGGTACGAGCTAAGGAAGAAACAAAACATGGACCGCTGGTCAGCAAGAAAACCTCTAAATGTCCTTGAGTGAGTACTAAAAAGACAATAGAGAAACTAGATGAACTACATAGAACGCAAAGCTCAAGAAAAAAGGCAGGAACCTTCGTTTTTTATCATAGATATTAAAGTATTGCTTCTCTCATCTCGGCTTTTTCATTTTGCTTCTTTATTTTTATCTCTCAAGACTTTCCTGATCCACCACTTATTTATTTATTTCTCTCTCACCTCATTGGACCAGAGTCTGTTATTAAGCATCCAGAATTATGAAACTGTGAGGCAAACAACAGTAGAACACATCCAGAAGCAAAAATATAGAAGTTTCAGATCGTCATAAGAAATAAAAAAAGAACTCTTGGTAAAGTTTCTCGATGTATCGATTTTTTGACAAAAAGCTCCGACACAACGTTAGATTTCGTTCTCTCTGCTCGGATATCTCTCAAGAACGATCAGTAAACAGCATTTCCTTTCCCAAGGGGTAATAAATCGTCGCCAAATTGGGAACAAAAACACAAACAAATGGGAAAGAAAAAATCCAGTTCTTTGAAAATAACAAAGAATTTAGTTTTACAAGCTAAAACGGTTTTTCAAATCAATAAAAGACTCTCTTGGTATCCTAAGATACCGCCCTGCTATTTTACTATATGCGCGAAGAAGGAAGAAAGATCAAAAAGACTTTGACGTTGGAAGGTGAACTGACGAGCGAAGGTCCCTAACTGATAAATCGCTTTTGAGTCGAAATCCAGTGGATTATAGATTATCGACCATGCTGATTCCGAATATGGCCATGGAAGAAAAGTGAAAAGATTTCATCTGTATGTCACAATAAAAATGGTACGATTTCAACAATAGGGTGGAAGAACAGAGGACTAAAAATATTGTGAAAAACAATTAAGGGCTGAGAGTCTGCGCGATTTACGGAGAAGAGAACTTCTTGTGAGTTCAAAAATATGTTTCGCCAGTGAAAAAAACTTCGGTACTTTCGGTACCGGTTCCAATGGTTAATACCAAACGCTAGCTAACTTTTGTAAAAATAAGTAGAAGAAAATAAGACATCTCCGAACTCTCTACAACATTTCTTCGTGAAACAGCATTCAATTTACGGAAGGCCCTAAGGTCGTAATCTTTCTTGTTTTCCCTTGAGTTCCACTGGTATGGGGTCTTCCGTGGGAGGTTCCGGGGTCTTTCCGCCCATGCGCCTTTTTGACGGAGATATGAGTTAATTAATGGAAATGCCATTAATAATAATTAATTAATAGCTCACGATCATGATCAGCTAGGAGTCGGAAATTTACACCACTGTAAAACAAAATAAAACTTGGTATAACTGCTAATAAGTTTGTTCGCGCTGCATTGTTAGACTTTAAAAAATCCTTTGATAACGTTAATCATGAATGTTTACTGTTGAAACTCTACAAAAAAGGTGTAAGGGGTAAAGCTTTAAAGTGGATAGAAGATTATCTGAAAGATCGTACTATTCAGACTATGGTTGACGGTAAAATGTCTCAGAAACAGCTGGTCACAAAAGGAGTGCCACAAGGATCAATCCTTGGTCCTTTATTGTTCCTGGTTTATATAGACGATCTACCAAGCAATATAAAAAGTACTGAGAGATTATTTGCGGACGATGTAATTTTAATAAATCATGAGGATAATCCTCTAAATTGTGCGCTAAAGTTAAATAGAGATTTAGGTAGGATACAAGAGTGGTCAGAGAAATTGTATATTGCTTTTGTGGTGACACTGATAAGATTCTTTTCAGAGCCTTATCAATTCTTACAGAATTTGTCGCCGTTCGACAGTTCTACTTTTCGAAAGGAAAAGTATTTCTCTGATCACTCTTGTATTCTAACTAAATCTCTATTTAACTTTAGCGCACAATTTAGAGGATCATCCTCATGATTTATTAAAATTACATCGTCCGCAAATAATCTCACAGTACTTTCTATATTGTTTGGTAGATC